AACTGATTATGCCCTATTTTGTCATTGTAATACAATTGTGCCATTAAATGAAAAACAATCTGATATACTTATACAACAATTGTACTCTTATCAACCCAACAATTTATCATTTTCTTTAATGATTTCAAATATTGCTAGTGAACATGACGACGTTGATCTGTGACACCAACTGATATTGTCTCTATCGACTTCAAATCCATCAGATTTATCGCTTGATCAATTTTTATCAAATACGAATTGTCCACAACTTACTAGTGCATCACTTAATTAAAAGATCCATCAACTGTTAGATAATTCTTTAACAGATTCAACAACATCTCAATCAGAAAAACCTTTCATTAAATTATACGATTACAAGATTTGATAAAACTTTTGAAGAAGTTGCTCGAGATCTATCGCCAGCAGAGTTTGAAGCATGATGTAGAAAGAAACAACAATTAGTTAAAATGATTCGTGATAATGTAATCAATACTTTTGGTACTGATTTTTATCCAACAGCATTTGAATTTGATCGAGTGATAGTTAGCGTCACAAATAAATATCTAGCACTTGGTAAAATATTTGGTAAAGATACGGTATGTTTGATAGGAGATCGAATACTTTTTTCATCTGTATTTAATTTTTTTTTCATTTAGAGTTTGCTAACATTAGCATTTAAACCATAATTCTCTCGTGATCGAAAAGTATTCAGTTATTTATCTAAAGTACTGGCAAAAAATTTTATTTTATATTCTTTGAATTTTTTTTCTTTTTAGGAATACTTAGTTGAAGAAAAAAGAACAATCAGAGGAATCTTCGATACAATTATGTCAACAAGCAAATTCAATGCGGGTGGGTGGGCGTGAATGATAATACTAACACCCACACCCACACCCACACCGTACAACAACATTGCTGTAGTGTATAAAAATTTGGGTGACTATTCGAAAGCACTTGAATTTTACGAAAAATCACATAAAATCTTAGAAGATGCTCTACCTCCCAATCACCTCTTATTGGCTGCTTGCTACACCAATATCAGTCAAGTGTATAACGCCATGGATGAATGCTCGAATACACTTGAGTGTGAGGAAAAATCACGTAAAATCTGCGAAAAAGCTCTACCTCCGAATCATCCCGATTTGGCTATTTCCTACAGCAATATCGGTCAAGTGTTTTACAAAATGTGTAACTACTCGAAAGCATTTGGATTTTACGAAAAATCACATAAAATCTCGGAAGATGCTGTGCATCCGAATCATCCCCATTTGGCCAGTTCCTACGGCAAATTCTCTGGATTTTATAAAACCATGGGTGATTACTCGAAAGCACTTGAGTCTGAGGTCAAATCAGTTAAAATAAGAGAAGAAACTCTGCTTTTGAACCATCTCGATTTGGCTACTTCCTACAACAACATCGCTGTATTGTATAACAACACGGGTGACTACTCGAAAGCACTTGAATTTTACGAAAAATCACTTAAAATCAAAGAAAAAGCTCTGCCTCTGAATCATCCCAACTTGGCTGTTTCATACAACAACATCGCTGCAGTTTATAGCGACATGAGTGACTACTTGAAAGCCCTCGAGTTTCACGAAAAATCGCATGAAATCTACGGAAAAACTCTACCTCCGAATCATCTTGATTTCGCTCTTTCTTGTGCAAGCATTGGTCAATTGTATAGTAATATGGGTAATGACTCGAAAGCACTTGCACTTCTCGAGCAAGCGCTAGCTATTCAACAAAAAACACTTCCACCATCACATCCTGACATTGAAGAAACACTGCGTAGAATTAACAATGTTAAAAAGATGTGATTTTTTTATTTGCTCAATAAATTCATTTACATGGCTACTCACTATATTCTTCGACTTTTTTCTCAGCTCATTTTCGCGTATGGATGTGGATGTAAGTATGATTGTTGGTCTTTCTCACAACCATACCTATACCCCAACTCACAAATGGGATTTCAAACAAAAATTTTCATAACAATATCAAATTTGTATGTTCATGTTTGAGTCATAACAGTATACGGTGGTACTCAGTCAAGTCAAAAATTTAGATAAAAATAAAGCAGAGATCTATTGTAAAAATTGTTTTCAGTTCCATCGACATAGAGATTTTTTTCTTTTTCCGTCTTAGTAAACAACGAGAGAACGCAAAAATAATCATACTGTTGGAAGAAGTAAAATTCAGTTTATCGAAGTATGGCAGAAATAAAAACATAATAATTCACATGGTCGTCGCGTAGTAGCGACATGAGAACACTAAACTATCGGAACAGCATCAGAAAAAAATGCAATTTACCGTCAGTGAAGTGTTCTTTTTCTTTTTTTGTCGCCTATAGAAAGAGAGCAAGGCAACATGTGTGTTACTGAAGTAAAAATGAATGCACAAGACTTTGATTGAAACAATTGAGAAATTAGCTGACTCAGATGGTTTGCTTTCAGATATAATCATAATATTTATATAGCTTGCATGTCATTCCTTTGAGAGCCGTAAAGAACATTGAACCAAAGAAAATTTCGTTATTTTAAAAGTCTTTATCTTGTGTTATAGATCGAAAAGAGGATGTGGCAATGGCGACAATCTCATCAACAACCATGGCAAACTTATTCTGACATTGAAAGTTCGATGATTGAAGATGTTTACAATCATGGTGGACAACGTGTCGAACTAGAAAATAATGTATTAGTTGACGTTAAAAAAGGCTTGCATATCGTTGCCGATTCTAAGAAAAATGACAAACCAGCAGAAATCAGACGATTATCATTGGATTGTGAAGATGCCAAAGCTTACAGAAATCGAGCAGAAAGAAATGATCGTTTCACCTTACCACCACAAATTATGGACAATACGAATGACAGTTCATCATTGGGTGCTGGAAACTGGAATGGATCCCGTCTTGTATTTGAATGGCAAATGAGGTAATTTTAAAGTTTCTGAGTAATTGAAAGATTCTGATTGGATGTTTTCATTAGATGTTCAAATCTCGAATCACTTCCAAATGGTGATATTATGCGTCAAGCACTTGACGGGATTCAAATCGAAGGTAAAGCAATAGGTCAAGCTAAACAAGCTCAATGGATTGCAGATCATTGGATACCAGTGACCAAAGAATCTTTTGAAAATATTTGTCGAGCATGTATACATTTGTATACCATGGAAAGTTTTCTCTATCGTCTGGTCAATGCAACGTTGCGTAATAATGATTTCTCGAAAATTGACACTCTTGGACCTTTTTGTTATTTACTCTTTCAGTTTAATTTTGCGCCCGAATATCAGAATCTTCGATTTTCAGGTCGCGTATATCGTAGTGCTGAATTGACGCCTGCAATGGTGAATGAGTATAAGCAAGCTGTGGGAAAAGTTCGTTCATGGCTTGGTTTAACATCGACAAGTCGACAACGAACAATAGCTGAATCTTTCTGTGCAGCAACAGTGTTGTTTATTATTGATATTCAAGAAACGGCCACTGATGCAGCACGATTAATTGCTAGCCTATCAGCACATCCCTATGAAGATGAAGTATTAATTCGAGCTGGACGACATTTTACAATTGATAGAGTTGAACCAAATAAGTCATCAAATAATAACATAAACACATTAATCTATTTGACTATTGAATAAAATTGTGAATGAAATCAGAGGGTTGGCCAACAATTGGATCGGTGTCAAAAATATTAACTTTCATTGGAACTTTGATGTCCATGTCCAA